TGTTTAACAAACTTATTCACGTGTTATTACGGTTATCACAGCTATTTCACATTGTTTAACAAACTTATTCACGTGTTATTACGGTTATCACAGCTATTTATTTATTCATTTATTTATTTATTTATTTCATTTTTTTGCTTAATTTAATTTTAACTTAATACTTTTTGCCCTTTAAGCTGCTGGTAACCTTAATTTCCTGAGGGAATCTTCACAAGGGATCAATAAAGTACTGTCTAAGTCTAAGTCTTTAAGTCTATTTCACATTGTTTAAGGAAGAACTGAGGACTGTTTTCTATCTGTGGCTGTTAGCACATAACAGAGGCAGTAAGTTTATCTGAGGATGAACACCCAAATATTCCAGGAAGTAAACACAAAGTGAGTCAGAGGATGGAAAAAGGAGGCAAACTGACCCCAAGATGACACAAAAAAACTAAACTAAACAAACAGGACAGACGATGAGTTCAATCTTTGTGAGACAAAAAAAAAAAGACTTTAAGCCCCCTACCGCTTTTCTTCCACTCTCATCTTCATCCTTCAGGCACCATCGTCCTCATCTTCATCCAAATAAAAGCCTCCTGGCTCTTGTTTTCTAAAACAGAAGACAGAAACGACAGGAAGGGACATAATGCAGAGAAAAAAGACGGATATTAGCCTCTTTACCAAAGAAAAGGTGGCTTCACCTTTTTGTTTCCGTTCTATGAGCTTAAAAACACCGTTTAAAAAGCTTCACCTGACTCAGAATGAATCAATGAACACTAAAGGAAACTACCACAACAACAAAAAGGTGTAGAAGCAGGATAACAGATGACTTATGACCTGTTTCGGTGCCGTTTAGGCTAAAATAAAAGAGTCCTGTACACATCATGTTGTGAGTTTGAGGCAGGTTAATACTTAACATGCCTTCGGAAAACACGTCTCTAACTCGACAAAAACCAGCCTATGCGCAAAGCCAGGCATCAAAACTAAAGGTAGAACATTTAAAAAGTTTATTCGCATTGCTTACCTGCAGAAAAACCCAGTTTCTGGACTCACGGTTAACTTATTCAGCTGCTATTGTTTTGGCTGGATACCGTAGCGGAAAATAACTCAAATATCGCGAGAGGTGCCAGTCCTCCAAACGGAAAGGTTGACTAGCAACCACGAGATCTCGCGAGATAATTATGGCACACTATGCAACAACTATGCAACAAATAAGTGGCTTAATTTTAATGAACTAAAACAGGTGTATACAACTTTATACTTCCTGCTCTTAATAAATGTGAACATACACCACTTTCATAGCTCTGTCTTGGTGTTTTTAAAGAGTTTTTATTTTTATTGGACATTTATAAAATAAATTTAATGAGCATAAACGTTTTACTCTAAATTTAGTCTACATTTGAATGAGGACTTGTGTCTATTTTCAACAGTGATGGACATTAAGCTTCACATTTTAAGCTTGGGAGTGACGTTTTTTTTTTTTCTAAACAGACTCAACACCTTTTTTTCTCTTCCTTCCTTCCTCTCTCTCAGTTTGCAGCGGGTCATGATGAAGGTGGCAGCTCTCGCTCTTCTTCTCTGTGAGTTAGAGCTGTTTTATATCATATTTTATTACAGTTTCACTCCTTTGTGTGGAATTTGTGTGGTATAGTTAAAATATATATGGTATTTTGTTTTTTGGTATTAGCACGCCAATCATAAAGATACTTTTGAATCATTTCAACATCTGCTTACATTTGATTTTAAATTTTTTTACATTTAAACATTTAGATTGACAACGATGTTGTTTATTAAGTGCTTTTGTTCATATTGTACTTCAGAAACTAAACATGATTGAACTTTTCCAGCCTGAAGGCTCAGACGGACATTTCCAGAGACTAAAGAAAACATGAAGAGGCGTCCGTGGGTGTTAGACTTATTTAGACATTATTCAGCAATTTTTTAACTTTTAGATCTTAAGAAAAGTATACGCGACTGAATTAAATTTCATTTCATTTAATTTTCATATCATCTAAAACAATACAAACGTATTTACACTATATATAAACATGACAAATGGGTGTTTGATTTTATTTTCAAATAAAAATCGACATAAAAGGTTGTTATGTGACTGGTTTCCTTAATAACTTTGACTTCCTGCCTCGTTTTGTCTGATTCAGTGATGGTCTTTGATTCCGATGAAGCAACAGGTAAGATAGCAGCACTTGTAATTATTCAGAATGATTCACTGTCTCTGATATGAGTCGATCTGGGCCTGACGTGTGTCCGGTTGTCTGCTGGACCTCCAGTTTCTGTGAGTGTGACCCCCCCGAGATCCCAGTTCTTCAAATATGAGAGTTTCTCCGTGGGCTGTGAGGGTGAACCGGTCGGGTGGACGGTGATGAGGAGGACGGTGGACGGAGAGGTTAGCTTCATCCTACAGGACTGTCCAAGAAAATTAGAAAATTGTGATAAAGTTCTTTATTTTCTGTAACGCAATTAAAAAACATGAAATGTCATACATTCTGGATTCATTACAAATCAACTGAAATATCGCAAGCCTTTTATTGTTTTAATATCGCTGATTATGGCTCACAGCTTAAGAAACCCAAATATCCTATCTCAAAATATTAGAATATCGGATTTTTGAGTTTTCTTCAGCTGTACGCCATAATCAGCTATATTAAAACAATAAAAGGCTTGATTGATTGATTGATTGATTGATTGATTGCTTGCTTGCTTGATTGATTGATTGATTGATTGATTGATTGATTGATTGATTGATTGCTTGATTGATTGATTGATTGATTGATTGATTGGTTGGTTAGTAGAAGTGTTTTTCCCCCCCAGGTGCACCCGTGTCTGCCCCCCTGCTCTGTCCAGGCCGCCTTCCCCTCCACGGACAGCGGGGAGCACTGGTGTGAGTCTGGACTCGGAGAAAAAAGCAACAGGGTCAACATCACCGTCACCGGTACGTCCAGCCGCCGGGATTTAGACGATTTATTTAGCTTTTTATTCATTTCATCCATCCATCCGTCCATCATCCTAACCACTTATTCCCTAATTCCTAACAGCGACGTTTAGCATCTTTAGGTTTTTTTTTCAGTTCTAGTTCAACTTTCGAATTTTCTAAATGTAATATATATATATATATATATATATATATATATATATATATATATAT